TCTTGGGTGTAGTTGTACAGGGGTGGGATATTCTGTATCCAAGTATTTTATAAACACTGTGAGCTGCTTTGAGGATGTCAATCAAAAAGTGAGGTATAGAATCACCAAATAAATAGAATTTGTATGCACACTGCTGTACTTGGTCATATGCTTGTGAACCTGACTCTACAGGGAAATTCCTGTGGGTAAATGCATGGGCATGGGCATGAATTCTTGGAGAATAGGTGAGGTCCCTACAGACTAAGGAAAAGGTAAAGGGACCCCTGACCATTAGGTCCAGTCGCGGCCGACTCTGGGGTTGCAGCACTCATCTCGCTTTATTGGCCAAGGGAACCGGCGTACAGCTTCCAGGTCATGTGGCCAGCATGACTAAGCCACTTCTGGCGAACCAGAGCAGCGCATGGAAACACCGTTTACCTTCCTGCCGGAGCGGTACCTATTTATCTACTTGCACTTTGATGTGCTTTGGAACTGCTAGGTTGGCAGGAGCAGGGACCGAGCAACGGGAGCTCACCCCATCGCGGGGATTCGAACTGCCAACCTTCTGATCAGCAAGTCCTAGGCTCTGGTAGTCCCTACAGACTAGAGGTGGGCAAATGTTGTCTCCATCTTCAAAGAGGGGGGAAAGGAAGACCCAGGTAACTACCAAGCTTGACATTGATACCAGGGAAGGTCCTAGAACAGATAATTCAACAGTTGGTCTGTGATCATTTAGAAAAAGATGCTGTGATTCCTAAGACCAGCATGGGTTTCTTAAAAGTAAGTCATGCCAGACCAATCTGATTTCTTTTTTTGATGGAATTACAAATCTGGTGGATCAGGGAAATGGTGTGAATATAGTGTATCTTGACTTCAGTAAGGCATCTGACAATATTCTCGTGAGGAAGCTGGTAAAATGTAGGTTGAACGAGGTAACTGTTAGGTGGATTTGTAGCTGGTTGACTGACCAAACCCAAAGAGTACTCATTAATGGTTCCTCATCATTCTGGAAAAATTGACAAGTGGGGTGCCGCAGGGTTCTGTCCCGGGCCTGTTATTGTTCAACGTCTTTATAAATGACTTAGATGAACGAGTTGAGGGGATGTTCATCAAATTTGCAGATTACACCAAACTGGGAGGGGTAGCCAATGCCACAGAAGGCAGAATCAGAATTCAAATTGACCTTAACAGATTGGAGAACTGGGCACAAGCTAACAAAATGAATTTCAGTAAGGACAAATGTAAGTTTTTGCACTTAGGCAGGAAGAACCAGATTCACAAATATGGGGGGGGGCACCAGGCTTACTAGCAGTACATGTGAAAAAGATCTAGGGGTCTTGGTAGATCACAAGCTTAACATGAGTCAACAGTGTGATGCAGCATCAGAAAAGCTAATGCTATTCTAGGCTGCATCAACAGAAGTCTGGTGTCCAGATCAAGGGAAGGAATCGTACCACTCTATTCTGCCTTAGTCAGACCACACTTGGAATACTGTGTCCAATTCTGGGCACTACAATTTAAGAAGGATGTTTACAAGTGTGCAGAGGAGGGCAACCAGGATGATCAAGGGTCTGGAAGGTAAGCCTTATGAGGAGTGCTTCAAGGAGGTAGGCATGTTTAGCCTGGAAAAGAAGAGACTGAGCGGGGATAAGATAACCATCATCAAATATTTTAAGGGCTGTCACATGGATGAGGGAGCATGATTGTCTTCTCCTGCTCTGGAGGGTAAGACTCAAACCAATGGCTTCAAGTTGCAAGAAAGGAGATTCCGACTAAATATTCAAAAAAACTTTCTGACGGTAAGAGCTGTTCAGCAGTGGAACAGACTCCCATGAGAAGTGGTGGCCTCTCCTTCCTTGGAGGTTTTTAAACAGAGTTTGGATGGCCATCTGTCATGGATGCTTTAGCTGAGATTCCTGCACTGCAGGGGGTTGGACTAGATGACCCTTGGGTCCCTTCCAACTCTAGATTCTATGAAGCCTGATTTTGAATAGGCAAGTCTGTTTTTCAATATATTATGAAAACAGAACTGGAACATAAACTGTTTTATCTGGCCTCTTTTGGGTAAGCTTTGTTGCATTTAAACTATATCATGATTTGTGACTGCCAACATGATGCTTTAATTTACATGGAAGTAAAGTCACATTGATTTGAATGGAACTTGTTTCCAAGGATTATATATATTTGTATGCCTTATTTTACCATAGCCAAAATCAAGCAAAGGCCACAAGGGGCTGTCCAGAGTTTCAGAGATTGATTGTCCAACTCCCAGCTACCATAAGCATATTTTCCAGGGACATGGATTAAAGTCCTGAATAATCTACCTGATGATCATCTTCTAAAGCGACTACTCTATTCTGAACTTAAAAATGGAAAGCGTAATGCTGGTGGTCAACAAAAGAGGTTTAAAGACTGTCTCAAGGCAAATCTTAAAAAATGTTGTATAAACACTGACAACTGGGAAACACTGGCCTGCGAGTGCTCCAGTTGGAGAACAGCCTTTAGCAAAGGTGTCATGGGCTTTGAAGACACTCAGACTCAGGACACAAGGGAGAAACGTGCTAAGAGGAAGGCACGCTTGGCAAATCCACACCATGATCAACTCCCGCCCAGAAACCAATTTCCCCACTGTGGAAGGACGTGTGGATCCAGAATTGGCCTCCACAGTCACTTACAGACTCACTGTTAAAACCGTGTTTATGGAAGACAACCTTACTCAGCTACGAGTGATAGCCAAAGAAGAAGAAGAAGTGTTAGGATGAGAACAGTTTGTGTGTACTCCCTGTGTGAACAATCCCTTCCTAATTTCTGCAACTTTTCATAATTTTATGCACGTAATATATATTTTTTAAGCTGCCAGATGTGGACTGAGCTGAGGTTATTTTTATAGGTATTTTGGCCAATTAATTGATAATAGACTGGGTCAAAAAAAATAATTAATTGCACAAAATGTTCCTGTTGGTAAGGAATTTAGTAACTAGGGGACATGCAGCCTCAGAGCCAAAAATAGAAAATTAAGAGCAACCCGGGAATTCACTCAGGCAGAGCTATTTCATACAAGATGGGAAATAACTAAGATCTCAAGGAAGGTCATAAAAGCCAATGGCATAAATGAATTTAAGAGACAGCTCGACATTTTTATAGAGAAAATGGATTGAAGAATTCAGAGGCAGTGACAAATCACTAATGGGTTTGAGATAAAATTAACAAGGACAGGTTTGCTTGCGGCTGGAGGCATTTTACTGTCCAGTAATGCTGTATGTCCTCTTTCATCACATTCTAATCTGAGGCTGACATCCAAAAGTAGCAGCACCAAGTCTTTCAACACCTCACGTTGTGTGTTGAAAACCAGAAATGAAATCTGCTGTTTCTTGGAACTGTTCGGGGGGGAAACACTGTTGCCTTTTGAAATAAAGCATATGTACATTTGTTGTTGTTTAGGTGTGTCTGACTCTTCGTGACCCCATGGACGAGAGCATGCCAGGCACTGCTGTCTTCCACTGCCTCCCGCAAGTTGGTCAAACTCATGTTAGTAGCTTCAAGAACACTGTCCAACCATCTTGTCCTCTGTCGTCCCCTTCTCCTTGTGCCCTCAATCTTTCCCAACATCAGGATTTTTTCCAGGGAGTCTTCTTTTCTCATGATGTGGCCAAAGTATTGGAGCCTCAGCTTCAGGTTCTGTCCTTCCAGTGAGCACTCAGGGCTGATTTCCTTAAGAATGGATAGGTATATCTTCTTGCAGTCCATGTTATGTATTAGGTTTAACACATCTTATGTTACAAGGCGCGTTCTAACCAATTGTATAAGCGTTAGTAGATAAAGTTTCTAATGGCAAGTAAGCGTATGCACTTTCAACTGTCAAAGTTTATGCTCGAGTTCATTATTGTGTTGTCCAGTCAGTTTGATTCTCGTGTTCCTATGAGTGAGCTGTTGTCACTGACAAATGTTTAACTAACTTAGTTGAGGAACTTATACTGCCTTGGGCTTCTGACTTTTTCCGAACATTTAACACCTTCATCTGCAAGGAATCATACAAAACAAAGTGGCACTAATCAAATCAGTTTTGTCGCCTCTTCCCCCCCCCAAACCCCAAGACAATGAGCCCAGCCACCTTTTATTCACAGTTGCATAAGCAATACACTACAGCATGGCCATAAGCTTGTACGTTCAACCACTGAAATATAGTATACACCCAATATGTACAATGGAGATTTATGTTACTGCTTTATGAATGAATACTGTGTTTTATAAATGGACTCTGTATTTTGTGAATTACCTAAGAGCCACCAATAGGGAGCTCTAGAATCTGACAGCTAACCAATTGGGCACTACCAAACAGCGACTCCTATTGCTGAAAGCAGGTAACCAGCAGGGAATACTTCAGCTCAGCCTTTGCACTGTTGACTGAACATCCCCTGCTGTGCAGATAATGGAGAAAGCTCATAAATTGTATCCCTTCTGGCATCCTGGCCAACTCTATTACACTGGTGTAAACCCTGATGCATCAGAAGAACAGAATAGCAGCAAATAAACTCCGCTCATATGTCAGCGACTGATAAGACTTGTCAACCAGTTCTTCCAAAGTCTTCCTAAATGATAAAGCTTCAAAATACAGGCCAAAAGAGAGCAGGTCTGGGAAGAGCGAGGCATACAATGGGCACATAAATTATATTATCAACATATACAAGCAGAAAATCATACAAAACAAAGTGGCACTAATAAAGAAAAGTTCCAGGGTGGAAACAGAAAGCAAACTAAAAATGCTTTTGCGATTCATCAAAACTATCCAGCAATATCAAGTTATAGGAAAACTGGTGCTATTAACAGTAATCCTTCTAGTTGGTTAATCGGTCCAGCAACTTCCACACTGACCACAAGGGGCTTTCTAGGTCAGGCATAGGCAAACTCGGCCCTCCAGATGTTTTGAGATTACAATTACCATCACCCCTGACCACTGGTCCTGTTAGCTAGGGATGATGGGAGTTGTAGTCCCAAAACATCTGGAGGGCTGAGTTTGCCTATGCCTGTCCTAGGTTTTTAGGCTGGATATTAAACCTAGAATCATCTGTGTGCAAAGCAGATGCTCTACCACTGAGCTATGCCTCCCCATGAACCAAGAATGCCTCAGAACCACACAACACTCTGTGAAAATAGAACAATGGCTACCAGTAGGGAGCTGTTGAAACCAGTTTCGTTGCTACTTAAAATAATGGAACCAACAATATGACATGTAAGTAAAGAAATGCATGTGATCTTAATGGCTTTCTAAAGAAATGAATGTCATTTTTATGAATGAATAACAAAATATATTTCAAAAACCAAAATGAACCAAGGAAAAACAACATTTATTTCCTAGCCCACCACTGCTACAGTCCTATACCACTGGCGTGGGTATGGTAAGCACACTCAGGGTTGCACTGTCAAGCATCTGTTTTACTCAGAGATATGAAGTGTTGCTGCTGTATGAACTTTTCAGCTGTGTTAGTGGAAAGTAATCTCAAAACAATGCTAATTTGAAAAAGCCCCCGATGTGAGTAGACTTCTGCAGTGTGGAAAACAATACATATTCCTCCCGCCTCCTTTCCCCATTTCCATACTAATCTGCATACTAAGACCTTAAATCCATCAGAATCCCAGCATGAGACTCACCTGTGCACAGAACATTACTTTAAAAATAGAACAAAATATAATGTTGGACTATTCAGGGCGGGAAGCTCTGTGGGATATGTGTGCTTATCTCCCACAGAGGAGGAGGCAGATGTAGCAACACCTTACTTTTCCTTTGTCTTAAACAACAGTTGTTTTGGTTGACAGGGGATTTTTGTCCCCCTGAGGCATTGAAGGTTAGCTCTCCCTCTCCTTTGCTGGTAGGATGAGTCAGGGAAAACAGCGTTCAAAAATAGGATCATGAGGAAAACACCTACTAATGAAAATACAGAGGCTATCATTAAGGTTGAGTTTTAGCCTACACAGGAATAATAATTCTATTTAATATAATGATAGTTATGTAGGGGAGCTCTTGAACTCTAACTGTTCTATTCTCTATTTGCAGGTAGGAAACATATAACAGAGATTAAGCTGGGCTAACCCTACATTGAAAATCTATTATTCTCTCTTGATTGGACCATGGCAAAAGATCACGAGGGCAAGCTCAATTTGCTACGATGATATCAGGATTCGAATGGCATTTAATTGCACAGCAGGAAGGACAAACTCAAGCACAGAAGGAGATTTAGGCACATGTGGAGGAAGTAGAGTGAACTGAAACGGCACATAATTACCATGATGTCTTGGGGTATTTTGCAGTGCAAGCCTTAGCATGCCTACTCAGAGGTAAGTCTCACTGAGTTCAGTGAGATTTACTCCCAGGTAACTGTGTACAAGACTGAACCTACAGAGTGCAAACACTAGAAACTGGAGGATTACTGCACCAATAGTACAAATTGAGTTGTATTTCATTTCATGTGTATCATACAATACTGTTAAATGGCTCCAGTTTTGATTGTTCAGTGTGGTTGGAGAAGTAGCGTACAAAAAACTATGCTCTGTTACATTGTAAAATCCCAGCATGCTTGGAAGAGACCCAATGGTATATTTTTTGTTTTAAAAAAGGTTTATTGGAATTTTTCACAAGACAATAAAAAGAATGAACAAATCTACAAAGAATAACAACACTAGAGGAAGTAGAAGAAAAGAAAAGAGTTTGGAAACTGCAAAATCCTCTCTCGCTTTTATCCCACACAGAATGGCATGTTAGTGATGCAGCTGGTGTGGTGTTCTTAGGAACAACAAGTAGCCAAAGAGCATCAGAAGCTGACATTGTTGTTTAGTCGTTTAGTCGTGTCTGACTCTTCGTGACCCCATGGACCAGAGCATGCCAGGCACTGCTGTCTTCCACTGCCTCCCGCAGTTTGGTCAAACTCATGCTGGTAGCTTCGAGAACACTATCCAACCATCTCTTCCTCTGTCGTCCCCTTCTCCTTGTGCCCTCCATCTTTCCCAACATCAGAGTCTTTTCCGGGGAGTCTTCTCTTCTCATGAGGTGGCCAAAGTATTGGAGCCTCAGCTTCAGGATCTGTCCTTCCAGTGAGCACTCAGGGCTGATTTCCTTAAGAATGGATAGGTTTGATCTTCTTGCAGTCCATGGGACTCTCAAGAGCCTCCTCCAGCACCTTAATTCAAAAGCATCAATTCTTTGGTGATCAGCCTTCTTTATGGTCCAGCTCTCACTTCCATAAGCTGACATTAGTCAAACGTAAGTGCCACAATGGTGTGATAGAGGAGAAACTGAGTGATAGAGGAGACGTGCATGTTTATCCCCACCACTGTTCAGGGCTCCAGCTCACAGGGACAGCTTCTGTGGGTTCAGTAGGCAGCTCTACTGCAGATGTGCTCTCAACCTCTCAACAGCCTTTGGGAAGGGACAACATGGTTGACAAAGGCAGGGGCGGAGTGAGTGTACACGTTACCTCTCCTCTCTCCTGTGCAATTATTGTTTTCCCAGAGCCACATGGGCAATCTTTTGGCTTATTTTGGCAAAGGATTCTTTAGACCCCTCTTACTGACATTTAAATTCTTATTCAAGATCCATTTACTTGAATGTGAAGAAAGGGTATACTTTGGTTGTATGCTGTGATTGGAATTATTCCTTTTTCCAGCTGGTTAAAAAAAAACCACACAACCAGCAGATAAGTTTTTCTTCCAGCATTAAAAGCAATTGCTTTCATTTGCATTTTGGAATGATTACGCTACTCAGAAAGAATTGGGTTATTCCTGATGCTATTGATATATGTTTTATTTCAACGTCTCCCCGCTCCTTCATACTGTCGGTAAGAACATCTGGCCATTTTGTAAGAAGGATCAACATGCCAAAAATAGTCTACAGGACCATAACTGGATCCAAAAGTATGTCTACCATAGAAGTGACAAGCCACATTGCCTGCTTTCTTTTACCCTTTTGTATGAGGAAAAGTAAAACATTTGGCCAAGATAAAAGCATTCAATAAAAATTTTAACATACGTGCTGTATATAGGCCAAGATAATGCCTTTTCTCCTTATCCATTACTATCAAAGACTTCTTTGAAATATGCATGTGTTCTACTTCATTGTTTGATGTTAAAAGAAACATATGGTATTTTGAAACAATGGATAATTAGATTTTGTGTCTGCTTTCAATGTTTCAGTTTACTAACGTACTTTAAAAGATTTTGCAATCAGAGTTGACAGAATAAATGACAATTATAGAAAAGAATAATATTATTTTGGAGGCTATGGGGCTGGGGGCTGTGTTTGGTAAACAAAACTTACCACAAGGCAGTTCAAATTTCTCTTTTTGAGTTTTTGACAACTACCACTTGGCAGATACATTACACATGAATGGTTTTATTTGACTACTGTTTGGCCGTTGCTTTATCTCAGGTTTTGGAGCTTGGAAAATATATATGTATTTACACCTGCTTTTCTTTTGTGTGATAATTAATTGTGATATGTAGAGGTGCTTAAAAGATACAAAAGGGTGATAGGCTATTTTATACATACATGTACAAAGTGCTTTTTAAAATGAGGTGTTAGTACTCATATCTTAAAAGATACCACCCCCACCCACAAGGTGCTGGTACTCCATATCACAGCATACTGCCCAGGGGGTGGGGAATACACTGCATGTACATCACCTTATTTTTAGATTACATCTTTATCCCACATTTCCTCAAAGAAACTCAGGGCAGCTTATAATAATATATGGCTTTCCCACCCTTTAGTTTATACCCACAACAACCCTATGAGGTAGGTTAGGTTGACAGACAATGACTGGCCCAATCACCCAGCAAATTTCACAGCTGAGTGGGGATTTCATTCACTACATCAGGATTTGTCATCATTTTATGACTTACAGCTGAAAATGTAACTCAGTTGAAAAACATTGTGTTTGTTGAGGTGATGTCCGATTATGTGAATATTCTGCTCTCTGATGGCTCATTGAGACATGAAGTGTTCGAGTGATGACTACGACTACTCTCCTCCATCCTGTGTCAGGCTAGACAGGCATTGGCAAACTCAGACCTCCAGAAGTTTTGGGACTAAAACCCCCATCATCCCTGACCATTGGTCCTGTTAGCTAGGGATGATGGGAGTTGTAGTCCCAAAAGGGCTGAGTTTGCCTATGCCTGTGCTAGCAGCAACAACGATGAGCTGCTCCTATATTCTGCTGCTGCTCTGGGATGCTGGGTCCAACTAAAATTTAGCAATTGTATTATGCTAAGATTCATAGAAAAAGTATTTCCCTAACCATAATGGGAATGGGGGACGTTGGGCTCTTGAAGACTCTCTTTCCAAGGCAGTCCTTTTCACCCATGATGTCCAGCAAGCCACTTCAGAATTAAAGCTTCAGGAGTAGTTTACCTGTAGAAGCTAACTTCTGGGGAGGACAGGACCCCTTTGGATCTTGGTCAGTGTTTGGCATCCAAAGTAAAATAAAAAATTAGCACATTTCTAAAGGGCTGCCACATGTAAGATGGAGCAAGCTTGTTTTCTCCTGCTCTGGAGGATAGGGCCTGAAGCAATGGATTCAAGTGACAGCAAAAGAGATTCTGATTAACCATCAGAAAGAACTTTCTGAAGGTAGGAGCTGTTCAACAATGGAACAGACTCCCTTGGGAGGTGGTGGACTCTCCTTCCTTGGAGGTTTGTAAGCAGAGGTTGGATGGCCATCTTTCATGAATGGTTTAGCTGAGATTCCTGCATTGCAGGAGGTTGGACTAGATGACCCTTGGGGGTGCCTTTTAACTCTACAATTCTGTGATTCTCTCCACAAAGATGAATCCGTCCTCAGAGGAAATGGCCTGAACTCTCTCACCTGTGAATATAAACAGCACTTCACAAAGAAAAACCTTATCAGCTGCTTTCTGGCACATAGGTAAGAGCTTCATATTATCCATATTAAATCTTCTCTTTCATTTTGCTTACAAGCTACTGGGGAAAGCCTTTGTTAACAATCATTCTGCAGATGATAAAGAAGTATAAAAGCACAACACACTTGTAAGATGCTGAAATCTACATCTTTTATATCAATATTCCCTTTTTCTTTATGTTGTCTTAAATGTCTTACTTCAAGTGCTGTGATATTAGAATATATTTACTGGCTCCAGTCCAGCTGTACTTACAAGAAACAAGGTGTTGTGCATGATTAGTGGCCCAAGTCATAGGCAGCAATGTGCATTCTTATCCATCCTATCCACATTTCAATATGGAAGGGCCTTAGCTCAGTAGTAGAGCTCTGCAGATATCTCCAGGAAGGTCTGGAAAATACTTCTGTCTCCAAAGACAATGAGCCCAGTCACCTTTTATTCACAGTCTCATAAGCACGAAACTATAGCATGGCCATAAGCTTGTACGTTCAACCACTGAAATAATGTATACACCCAATATGTAGCAATGGATATTTATGTTACTGCTTTATGAATGAATACTGTGTTTTATGAATAGACTCTGTATTTTGTGAATTACCTAAGAGCTACCAATAGGGAGCTCTAGAATCTGACAGCTAACCAATTGGGCACTACCAAACAGCGACTCCTATTGCTGAAAGCAGGTAACCAGCAGGGAATACTTCAGCTCAGCCTTTGCACTGTTGACTGAACACCCCCTGCAGGCCAGATAATGGAGAAAGCTCATAAATTGTATCCCTTCTGGCATCCTGGCCAACTCTATTATGCTGGTGTAAACCCTGGTCCAACAGAAGAACAGAATAGCAGAAAATAAAATCTGCTCATATGTCAGCGACTGATAAGACTTGTCTCCAAAGCCTGGAGAGTCACTGCCAGTCAGTGTAGACAATACTGAGCTAGATGAATCAATGGTCTGATTCAATAAAAGGCAGCTTCCTATGTTCTTGTAGATGGGAGTTATACACTCCCACCGGATGACTTGTCATACTTTGCAATGTGATACATAGCTCTTCAACCCCTAGTCTGAATCATAGAAATAAAAGTGTGCATGAAAGTCTGGCTCTGTGAACACATATTGCTTCTTAGGTCAAGGCATTATCCACTGTATTAGTGCGCTGCATTATATGCAATTTGGATATACAACTTTGTGACTTTTATCATTATAACAATAGTTGGTAACATTCACCATCAGATTGCATTATGATGCTCAAGGTCTGTATATAAAGCAAAGCATGTAAGCGGCTAAATCTCTTTAGAGGAAAGCATCTCTGATGTGACGGCAGCTGAGAATGTACAATGAGAGCCATGAATAACTAAAAGTGACATCCTTACATTTAAGCTGCCTTTTTTCCATTGAAGTCTATGAAAGTAGGAGTCTCATTCTATGCCCCCTCTGCACAGCACCATCGGAATATAAAACTGAATGCTGGGATCCCAGATTCAGCTTCTACTGCTGGGAGCCAGACCTCGCCCATCCGCTTGCCAAGGCAGAAGCAGCTTTTGGCAGTGCTGCTCTGGCACCAGGAAAAGACCTTAATAGGGTACAGGAAGAGTTTGTGTAAGGGTTTGCTGGTAAGAAAGATGCATTTCAGTGTTTAATTGGGATATAATTGTTTGGTACAAACTGTCTGAAGATTCAGAGCAAAGACTTAAGACTACTCCCAGACAAAATGTTTAGTTTATCATGTAGGCCTGCCTAGGTCACACCTGCTTACCCGAGATCCTGAATGAACCATTCCCTACTGTCTGAAATTACCACTTATATTTCATTTTGCATTGCTGAAAACTGCTGTGAAGCAGCTTGAACTCAGTAGTGAGGATGGCATGAATCACTGTGTCATAAAGCACTGCTGCTATTGAAAAATAAAGAAGGGGTATGATTGAAGCATAGAGATGGAAAGGCTACCGTTTCTCTCTCTCTCTCTCTCTCTCTCTCTCTCTCTCTCTCTCTCTCACACACACACACAGAGAGAGAGAGAGAGAGAGAGAGAGAGAGAGAGAGACCCAACTTTCCAGTTTAACTTTCCAGTTTACAACTTTGGAAGGCTAAAAAATGCATTGCATAATTTGCATTTTCACACAAGTGAGTTCCGTTTAGCAATTTCTCAAAGCAATTATGGCTTTGGACTGGGCAGGGATTGAATGGGGTAGTTTGATTAGATAGACCTTTGCTACAAACTGACAGCCAAGCTGGACATGACATTAAATATGTATTTGTATATAATGTTCACAGTGTTGTTAAAAAAATGAAGACAGCAGCCACTGGGAGCAAATCAAGTGGGAAGGGGAACAAACCTTTAATCCGCTTTTCCACAATTGCAATCCTGGTGAAAAATCATTCTTCAGATGCTGCTGTTTGCCTTGGAAGGAATGCATTGCATTGCATCAACTGCAATGACGGTGGGGCTTCCTCCCAACATCAGCTCAGAGGTCTTTTGTTTGGGTTGATGATTATTTTTTGAAAATTATTTTTAATTTTATAACATATTTAACAGAGAAAGAAAGAATAAAAGAAAAGTGAAAGACAGATAAAGGAGAAAAAAACCCATAATCTCACATTAAGATTGAATATAATAAGCATCAACACATCAATCTTAACGTATATATCCTTTCTCTCAAGTATACAGTCACCCACTTCTGTCTTTTCATATAGTGCTGCTCTTTCTATCACAGCTGACAAAGCCAGCCTAGTAAGACCCCCCCCATCTGCAGTACACATTTAAAGCAGTATCATCCCACTTTAAACAATCATGGCTGCCCCCAGAGCATCCTGGGAGCTGTAGTTAGCTGTTAGGAAAGCCCCTATTCCCTTCACAGAGCTATAATTTCCAGAGCTCCATGGGGAGAGGGGCTGATTGTTAAGCCACCATCTCCCCTACTATTTCAGTGCTCTGAAGACCAGCAGGAAAGGGGAAGGACTGAGGAAATTTAACAAGTGGGGTGTTTGTGCAGTCCCACAAACTGTTTTGTGCTGCTTCCTTGGAGACCCTGGTGAGTTGGGAGCATATTGAGCCCATCGATAAGGCAGAGACACGCAGTGCTTGTGGGGCAGCCACGTTGACTCCTGTTTGTGGATCTTGCCCAAATACATCAGCCAGACATCCTACACGCTGTATCAAAATGTCCACACTGACGCTGAAAACAAAGGGTACAGGAAGTGAGAGGAGAGCAGAAGTCTGCACTGGGCCTAATCACCTGAAATATATATATATATATATATATATATATATATAGTCAGAATTTAAAAGGGGGGAAGTCGGGGGGGGAGAACAAAGTTGTGTATAAGAAAGAGGGCGGAAAGCAATATACAAAAATGTAATGTTTACAGATAAACTGTAAACAGATAAAAACATTGGCAGGATTATTGTGATAACCTGCAGTTTCACAAGAGTATATACCAGTATATAAACCAATATAAGCCATGAAATGTCCAGATAGGCATCCACATGAAATTGACATTTAGAAGAAATACTGGTGTATTTTTTCTGGAAATGTAAAGCAGTTGACGACAGACAGTGACCAATGTTGGAAGAAGGAGAGGGACGTTATAACTTCTAGCGCAGCATTTTGAAGCAGTCTTGATTAATAATCCAATGGCTCAAACTACACATGGCACAGGCTAGAGGGAAGAGCAATGAAGTCAATTGCAGTGGTGACACTGCAAAAGGGGGTTACTTAACCATTTCATCATGGGCCATTCTTCCCACCCCGTCTGCTTTCCACTTTTGAATGAAAAGAAAGAGGGTGACTGTTTAGATTTCCTGGGAGTGGAAAAACAGCAAGTGATGGGAGGATTTTGATTGTCAAAACGGGTAAGGTTTAATCCATCCACTAGCTGTCGGTGAGGCAGTGTGGATGGAGCTCAGTTGCTCTCCCAACACGGTGGGACACTGCTGCTTACTCAGAGGGAGAGGGGAGGGCCAAGGCACAGGAAGCTTGGTGTGATACAGTATGCGGCCATGGAGCCAATCTGATACTGCTTATGCTCTTCAAAACACAGACCTCCCTGCACCTTACCCCCTTCCTCTTGGTAAATGCCAGCAACGCACTGTGTTGGGAAGCTGGGAGTGCCCCCCTGTGCCACCTCACTGCTAGGTTCAAACCACCCCCCCCCAGCCTGCAATTCCCTTAAAAATACCACCAAACTAATAGGAAGGTGAGACATGTTTTTGGGGGTATTGTGTGTTGCTGGATGTGGTTGTACAAAATGGTTCCATTATATTAATGTTGCTAGGTATGAGGACCCCAATCCCTGCAATCCAAGAAATCAGAATCTAGCTAGTATCTGGGATGGGAAGCAGAAATGCAAGCTGCAGACCTGTACCAGACAAGGAATCACTGGACCAGCTCATGCAAAGCAACCTGTCTTTCCCCCTCACCAGCTCTGAGGAGTGCACAGAGACAGGGAAATTGGCAGGTTACCAAGGTGCTCTGTGTGTGTGTGTGTGTGTGTGTGTGTGTGTGCGCGCACACACATGCACACGCACACAGTGAGATGACAGGAGAAGAATATCATAGGAGCAGGGGTTGGTGGGGAACAAGAGAGGACAACCAAGACTGACTAGAGAAGCTACAACCCAGAGACAGGGGAGCATGGCCGGCTGCTCTGGACTCAAGCTTATATTGTTCTATCACAGCTTTGCAAAAGCCCACCAGTAGCTGTCCCTTTTAGTCAATGGGAAACACACACATACAAATGTCAAAAACCAGGGAGTCTCATCTCCAGGAAGTAGAATTAACAAGAAAAGAAGGTTATGGGAAATTTGTGTGAGGAGAATCAGAACTTACAGGGTTAAACAGTTCTGTGTGATGTCTCACATTCTCAGGCGTGATTTGGTTCACATATGGGAATCTTTCTTTGTTTGTGAGTTTCCTTTCGTTTTTGGCTGAGAGGCGAGAAGGATGCCTGCTCTCTCGCCGGGACTGATTTATGATGTTTTTCTTCTCATTAAAGGCTAACTTTGGAATCGATGAATCCAGCGGATTTTACGCTGCAGTATGTGACTGGGCGTTTGTGTGATGAGGAGGAACGCCGTCTCAGAGAGGGCTGAGCTGGCGCAGGGTGCCCTGCCGGTAACAGGGCGGGGGGCAAGCCAGAAGGCACAGTTCAGGCTTTTTCCACTCGTCGTTGTTTTGTCTGCGGGTCTGTTGACCACCTGCGTCGGTCCTGTCCGCGGAGAGCCAGAGAGGCCGGGCAGGATGTCTCCAAGGTCGCTTCCCATGGCAGTCAGCCAAGTCCTCGTGGCAGCCAGCCAGGTTTCCATGGCAGCCAGTCTAGGAGAGCAGGCCAGCGTGGGAATGCGAAGGGAGGACGTGACAGAGGAAGTGAGAAGGATGGTTCTTCTTATCACCTAGCTGCCTCCATGGCAATGCTGAAGGACAACTCCAGTGAGGGCAGCATGCTGCGTTGGGTCATCGACTCAGGAGCCAGCCATCACCTGATGCCATCGCCATCTAGTGGTGAAATGTGGAACTGCAGGGCTGTTTCAACTGGGAAAACAGTCACTCTTGCTGATGGCTCACAGAGACCATTTACCACTGTTGGCAATGTGTTTGTTTCTTTTTTACAGGCAGAGCTGGAAGTCTACGTTGTCCAGGAATGAAGTGTTGTCTTTTATCTGTATCTGCTCTTGTAAAGGAGGGTTATAAGGTTTGCTTTGAAAATGATGTCTGTTCTATTTCCAGGGGTGGGAAACAACTGGTCAATGTTGCATGTCAGAACAACCTCTTTGTTCTGGAGACACCTCTGGAGGGTAAGGGGGACGCTGAGACAGCACAGGCGCGGTGTGCTAACGTTCCCACACATGATTCGTGTGCTCGCTTGTGGCACAGGAGAATGTCGCATAGCTGTTGGAAATATATCCAGAAGTTGCCAGAATGCACTGAGGGTTGCAAGATGAAAGCATGTGATAAATTCTTGGATTGTAGGGCATGCAAAAGAGCAAAGATAAAAAGGTGCAGTTATCCCAGATTGGAGAGGGTAACCACAAGGCCTTTTGAGCTAGTGCATACAGACCTTTGTGGACCCATGCCGAGTCTGGGCGGAGCCAGGTATGTGCTCACGCTGACAGATGATTTTTCGAGGAACGGCTGGATCTTCTCGCTGAAACAGAAAAGCGAGGCGGCGCAACTGATCAAAGACTGGGTTGCGGCGGTGGAACTACAGTTTTCCACCAAGGTGCAGAGCTTTCAGAGCGACCGAGGCGGAGAGTTCACCGGGTCTGCTCTGCAGAGTTTTTTCTGCCAGAAGGGGATAAGTCACAGGTTGACGGTTGCTTTTTCTTCTCAGGAGAATGGCGTAGCGGAGCGCAGGAAGAGAACGCTAGCTGAGGCAGCTGACGCTCTACTGTTTGATGCTGGTTTGCCTCAGAGCTTTTGGGCCGAAGCTTGGAAAGCTGCCAGCTTCACTTTGAACAGGTCCTATAGCTCTGTTGTAGGAGACACACCCTATTTTCTGCTGCACCGGAAGAAGCCCAAGGTGCATTTCTTCCGTGTGTTTGGTTGCGAAGCTTGGGTGCTTGTGCCAAAGGCTCAACGCAAGAAAGGTGACCCAAGGTCCCGGAAAATGATCTTTTGTGGGTACGAGCCTGGGACAAAAAGGTGGAGGTTTGCCTATCCAGAAGGCGATCAGTCCAGGATTCTAGTCAGCAGAAGTGATGAGTTCTGTGAGCAGAGTGGTTGGTCAAGGATCCATGCGAATCCTGACGTTCTCTCAGAGTGTCTGTCTGATTCTGCTGAGGAGGGAGAGTTAGAAGCTGAACCTGTTGATGAGGACCAGGTCTCTGACCAGGGTCAAGAACAGGGAGGGGCATCTCCACAGGTTGTTAAAAGAGAGCCCAAAAGTGAGCCTTCGTCTCCCGTTAGTCAAGTGCAGAAGGCCAGAAGACGCAGTAAGTCAGAGGGGGAGTCTTCTGATAACAAGGACACACTTGCTGGCCCCAGTGGGTCAGAGGGAGCACCTGAGACAGTGCTCAGACGTTCCACACGCACTACAAAGGGGGTACCACCTGAGAGGT